ATGTTTCCATGCAACATCTTGTCATCTCTCTCTTCCCTCCCTCTTCTTCTTATTCTCGGCCCAAACAACCCACCACCATCTTCATTTTACTCTCAAACCTACTCAAACACTTCTCTCTAAGAACACTCAAAGAAACCCCCTCTATTCTTCCTAGAATTTGTGTGTACTTGTGTGTGTCTCAAGGAAAATCTCTTCAAGCTTCATACTTAGGTAAGATCATGTAAACTCAAAGTGATTTATTTTATTTTAGGATAGATCCATCCTCATGAGCACATGTTTTCATGATCATGCTCTTAAAACTTCTTAGAATTCGAAGATCTCCTCTCAGGAAGACTTTTAGGGTCGAGATCCTTCTCAACCTTAATCCAAGACCGAAAACAACAACCCAAAGTGAGTTCATACCCCCTATTTTCGGTTTTTACTATGTTTTGAGGGAGAATACAAGTTGTTTTGTGTAGATCAATGTGTGTATGAATGATTTTGTGTGTTTTTCATGTAATATATGTGGTTATGTGTTATAAACTCCATGAACTTAAAGATCTACTAAAAGATGAAGCTATTTGTAGAACATAACACTCATTTCAACTTATCTTACAAGGAAATGGTTTTAAAATACATACAAGTTACTTAAAACCAAGAAAAATTGCATAAGAGGGCCAAAAGTGACAAAATGACCAAAAATGGGTTTATTTATGTAACTCACGGTTAGTAGGGGTTCAAAAACGATTATTTTTTCTAAACATGGTTAGTTACGACATTTGAGACCCTACAAGGACTAAAAATGTAAAAATTTTCATAATTGGATCTTATTTGGGCTTCTCACGGCCTTGGGCCAAAATTGTAACTTTTTGGGCTTTTGTGGGCTTAAGTGTCATTTTCAACATAGTTGTGTCAAAAATGTAAATTTTTGCTAAGGAAAACTAAAAATAAGAATTTGTTAGAACTTGGGTCAAAAAGATAAAATTATTTACAAATGGGCCAAGAATGCACATTTTCATAACAATCAAGCCAAAAATGATATTTTGACAAAAGGGAGTTGAAAATGTTATTTTTACAAAAACTAGCCTTAAATGCAAGTTTCGTTCTTAAAAGGGGCCTAAAATGTTATTTTTACCAAAAATGTGCCTTAACTGTAAATTTTCGGCTTAATGGGCCAAGAATGTCATTTTTACAAAAAGTGGGCCTTTTATGTCATTTTGGTAAAAAAAATTAAGCCAAAACAAGCAATATAATAACAAACAGGCTAATTACGTCATTCTCGTGTTTATTGGGCCTTAGTGACCCATTTATATGCTTGATAGGTCATGTATACTCTTTACATGTTTATTGGGCTTTATTGACCCAATTACATGTTGGACGGACCTTGGATACTCCTTGCATGCTTTCTGGGCCTTTAAATAATATACATGTTAAATGGGCCTTAGTTGTCCTTTTACATATATATTGGGCACGGGGTTTATATATAATCTCATTCATTTTGAGCCTAGAAATGATTTACATGCTTAGCGGGCATTAGTTGTCTAATTACATGTTCATTAGGCTTTGAATGTACCTTATATGTTTCTCTTCGCGTAAATTCGATTAAGGATCTAGTGAGACGTGTCGGTTGGCACCTATTGAGTGTACGATCGTAGTCTGTAGTTATAACCAGAGTCACTTGGAGGGAGAGCGGTGGTTTCTGTATAGATATATACGGGGGTGACACCCCACACCTGAGATGTTCGCTACAGTTAGACTATACCAGTCTAGGGTGACAAAAACCTTATTCTATTCCGTCGGCGTCCAATAACGCCATGACATGTGAAATTGTCATTATCTAGTATGGTTATAACGACTCACTTAGAGGAATTAACATTATAAAATTTACGGGAAACCATTCTCTTTTCTCTTTGGATTACTTGGTAACATACTCGCGCTGGTACTCAACCTCGGGGGTTGATAATACCAGCATTCTCTTTCACAGACAACATCAGGTTGTCTGGGGGCATTCTCTTTATATTATCTTTACATTCTCTTCGTCATTCTCACCATTCTCTTTTTTTCATTCTAGTAAACATTAACACACATGCATTAATACAAGATCGGACACACACACATACTAAATTGTTTTCAGAAAATATAGGATTTTATGGTGGTTACAAAGTAATAATAATCATTTTCTCAAACATGCTTATGAACTCACCAACATTTTTATGTTGACCTTTTTAAATTAACTTGTATTCTCAAGAAACCGTTGAGCAGGTTGGGCAGAAAGAATTCATGGATATTTTGTCATATTTTGTTTCATCATACTTTAACTATTTTGGCATGTAATATTGAAATACAATATTTTATGTAAACTATGGATGTTGTTATATTACATGTGTGATGATGATGATGTTATGTTTCAATTATATACTCTATGATGATACTACAAAAATGAAGTCACACCAAGCCCCCGGACGTTTCCACCGTCTGGTTCGTGGGTGTGACACTTTTGGATTAAAAAATATTCCACAAATATTTCAAAGAAAAATGGATAATATATTTAAAAATCATGATTTTATTTTTGTTTATGTTGATGATATTCTAGTATTATCAAATGATATATAGTCACATTTGCGTCATTTAAATACTTTTGCAGATTTATGCATTAAAAATGGATTAGATTTATCGGAAAATAAAACTAAATTATTACAATACCAAATAGAAATTTTAGGAATGAACATTCATGGTAATGGGATAGAACTTCAAAGTCATATACTAGAAAAAATGACTGCTTTCCCTAATAAATTGATAGATAAAAAACAAGTACAAAGTTTTCTTGGAATACTTAATTATGCTTCTAATTTTATTAATAATCTAGCAACATTAAGGAAACCCTTTCAATAGTTACTAAAAAAGGATAGAGTTTTTGGCTTTGACAATGGCTTAGAAACCAAGTAAAAAAGATAAAAGAACGTTTCAAAAATTTACCAAAACTCCAATTACCGAAAACTAGATGTAGACATAGAACATATTAAAAATAGTTTTATTATATGTATCATAATTGTTCTGATGGAAAAGAGAACAAACAATTATGATACATATAATAAAACTATTATGGGAATAATCGAAAATTTAAAATTCCAAAAAAAACAATGCACCTCCTTCTTCTTTTACAGGAAAATCAATTTCTGAAGATAAACATATACCAGCAGATTCAAAAATTACTGAAGATCATATTTCTTTGAGACCTCATATTGGGAAATCAAGCCCAAAGCACAAAGCAGAGTCTGTCAATACAGACAACATACTAAAGATATTTGTCCAACATGTACTTCATCAAAAGATCAAGAAAAAACCTCGTCATCAAACTCTTCAATGAATTTCGATGACATAGATTGATTGTGGGTCCCACAAGCAAAAATAAATTTATTTGATAGAGGTAAGATAAAATCAAGCCCGCAAGCACAAAGCAGAATCTGTCAATACAGACAACATACTAAAGATATTTGTCCAGCATGTACTTTATCAAAAGATCAAGAAAAAGCCTCGTCATCAAACTCTTCAATGAATTTCGATGACATAGATTGATTGTGGGTCCCATGTAGTGACAAAGATGCAGATACTAATGGATAAGTCATGTTGACTTAGAAGACAAATATTATACACAAGTTATAAGGATAAAACATACACCTGGGGTATATGTGGCTAGATATTAAAGAAATTGATGCATCTTGCATGTGTGTGTCATGCATGTATGAAAAACATCTAACATGAAGATGATATGTGTTTAAAGAACTGAAGAAAGAGATGAGTCTTTGATGTATGTACCTAGTGCTATAAATAAAATCCCAATATTATAGAAAAGGGCATCGTTTGTAATCATTGTTTTTCTATCATGTTATCTTGTAAACCCACCTTTGTAAAATAATGTTTGAATAAATTCCTCTTTTCTTTATATTTGTCTGGAGTCATATAATACTACATATATTTTTCATTATAGAAAAAAAAATCCCACAAAAACCCATACTTATTATCCATACACCTCACACCTAACGTAGGAAACGAAATTAGGTCGTGATGAGTATTGATGAAGGACCTACAGTGAAGTTACCTATCCAAAATAGGTTGGAGGTGGAATGTTCGGTAAAAGTCTCTTAGTATAACCCGGCAATATTGCGGTCAAAGTGGAAAACAGGTACGGAAGCATGTTGGACCCTTTTCTTTTTATAATGTGAAAATATTATTGTTCTATTATTTTGCTCTTGGTAATTATAAAGAAACTTGTTAAAAAATACTTTTCTGTTGAACACATTAAAATAAATTAAAAAACTTTTATTATTTAAATTAAAGAATGATATTAATCTTATATCCATTTACTAATTTAAATCTAGTATTTCTAATGCTTGAAAATGATTTTCGAATTGACTATTTAGATGTACATTTAAATCCATCAAATAATTCCCCGACTATAATTTTTGTTTTGTACCAACCATCTGGTTTGGCCACCCCACAATTTGTATTAGAGCCATTGAGTTTTTCTTGGAGGAGAAACCTCTTACTTGGATTTAAGTTCAAATTTAATGCAATCGTTTTCAGCAAAATTTGTATATTCTTAATAATAATAATCAATATTCTACTTCTAAAAATGAATTTGATGATTATATACCAGATGAAGATTTTACATTTGAAAGATACGAATGGACTAACAATAATATTATCGATGATAGTTGGGGAATTATCCTATCGTAAGTGGCATCTTTGGCTTTGTCACAACATAGTGAAACCTTTAGTTATTTTAACAAGAATTATATTACCACACCATTCACTTAATTTATCTGGTGAGATATTTTTTTTTCCTAAAGTGTCGGCAGTTCGTGGGTTATATAGGTTATACGTTTCAATTAATTTTCACCCCCAAGGGTCAGGTATTTTAGCAAAAAATAATGGTAGTAAATTATTTATATATGATACTTGGTTATATATATATATGATAATAGTAATCTTGAAAGACACAAATATATTTTTCAATTTCACACAAATATAATTAATAGTTATTCTTTCATGACCCTAGCATCCTTCCAGAGGAACATCATTTGAGATGTTAGTTTGAAACAGAATCGCCCAATTTAAGCAAACCTCATATTTGGAGTTGGGAGGAAAACAGACGAAACCAATTACAACTCCAGGCTTAATAGATAAAATCCCGCCAAACAAAAACACAAAAAATAAAGAAATTTACACAACATTACAACAATGAATGAGATGAGTTTTTTTTTTTTTTTTTTTTTTCTAGGGATAAAGAAGATAGAAGCAAGTTAAACAGCAGAAAGGCTAGCCCATTTCCCAAGCTCATAGGGATCAGCATAGTAGTAAAGCTTAATTCGGTTGGATAAAGAGAGCCCTGTAGCCAATGGGGGGCGACCTTTCAAATCAGAATCATCCTGATCTGTGGGATCATCTGCAAATGATGTAACATCCCCAAATAGTCGAAAACAGACTCGCCGACTGTTGACAGGTCTAGGAAAATCAAAGTACATGGGGGTCCCACCCTTCACCTCCGGTAACCGGTATTCTCCAACTACCACCATGTTCCGATTCTCCTACACACAATGTTCAATTTATTTATTTAGTTATTGTTAGGAGGCATGGCCCAATTATATTATTATAGCATATCAGATTTTTAATTTTTTTTCTTATTTGGACATTATCTTTGTAGTGCATGTTGATGTGGGGAGTTTAGATGATAATGATTTAGAAAGTAAAGTAGGTGAATGGGTACCTGTAAAGCGGATACTTGAATGTATAGTACGGGTGCCGATATAAATCTATTTTCCCAAAAAGGTGATAGATGATCATGATCATGAGAAGAAGGTGAATGGGTAACTCGAGGTTTTATTGCAGAAAAGCCATCAAGGCGGAATCCTGCCAGCATTGGTGAGGCTGGAGACATATATTGTTCCAACACCAGCTCATTCTCAATCAACCTCTCACCCTCAACTGGAACCTGCAACATGCAGTTTGTAAGTTGTAAGTAATAAAATAGGTTAAGTTTGATTCCAATAAAATAGGGCAGAGCAGTTGTAAGTTGTAAGTAATAAGCAATAAGCAATAGAATAGGCATATACCTTGAATCTGTTGAGGGGTGGAGGTTTATCCAACCAGTTTTTGAGGCTAACATGGTCAGTAGAAGTTTTTGCAGATGTTTTCACTGGACTTCCAACCACAATAATTCTTTTAGCATGCAAACATGGATCCATTTCCAATGGTCCTCCTAAAGAGGAACGCCTATTGTAGTCATAGAAAGGATTTTCATCCAAGGATAGAAGGTCAAAATTTACAGAGCTTGAGCTTGAGATTGTTCCCGCTTTTTGAATACTTAGTTTAATCCAGATCATGCGACAACAAACGGTATTCTTAAACGAAAACTCAATGTGCCTTGGAACTTGGTTGCCACTACCAGGTTTTTCAGGCCCACATACCTCAGGGTAAGATGTCAGGAGTGATCCCACATCCCATTTTCCCATAATTCTTCTTTCTTCCTTCTGTATTTTGTTGCTTGCCCATATTTGCACCTGCATAAATTTTACTTAAATTTAAATCTCAACTTTCTAGGTGCTTTTCGGAAATTCTACAGATATCAAACGTAAGCACGAATTTACTTACAGTAGGGGAATCAGATATGGAATAGCCACAAGGACTAACAACAAGGATAACGCCTGAGACATTTGAAAAATTGCCAAGAACAACAACAAACTCAGCAGAAGAGGTGGTATGAGGAGCTTTCCAGTATGACTCATCCAATACATCAATATCCAAAGGTGCTAGCAGCGACAACAGTGGTGCTGAACCTGGTGCCGATTCAACCTAACAAAACTCAAAATACAAAATAAATTTAGCTATACCTCTTTTGCAATGAATAATAATAATAATAATAATAATAATAAGAAATAAAGATTACCGAGTGTAAAATGCTGCCAAATGGGTATTCAGCTAATGATTCCTGTCCTTTGAGTAACTGGTGGTTGAGCTTATTTGTGTTGTGAGACACGGACTGGGGCTTCATCATTGTTTTTGGTCCCAGGACTTGATGGAAAGCTTTGTAAGCAGCAAGGTCACATCGGGTGTTTCTTCGGTGGGTGAGTAAAACTCTAACATAGTCCAAAATGAGAGCATCAAGAACTGTATCATGACAACACAACTTACAAATAACACCACCCCCATCTGAACAACCATCTCCTTGAGCAACAAGAAGAAGAAGAGCTCCTTTACCAGCACAACAACCTCTGCAAACTTTGCGCCTACACTCAGAGCACGAAAACATGGAAGAAGATGTTGATGTTGATGTTAAAGGTTCGGCACGAACCTGACACGATCCCCCACAACAACCCTCACCGATTTTATTAATATTCCAGAAATCGATATCCATGTCATCAGTAGCAATACCACCGAGCCCAATAGCACCACCAGTTTTATCTTCTAAATAAGTGTGACCAACAAGTGCAAGGGCGTTTGCAGTCCGGCATAATGAAGATATGTAAGATTCTTCAAGGAGTGCATTTGGATTTATAGTAGCTGGATCGATGCCAATAGATAATAAAGCTCTATCCCTTTCAGCAGCAGATAGATTCAGCCCAAGACGTTCCATTTCTAGTTTCATGGCTTCTACAAACCCTAATTTCTTAGCCTGCAAAAGATTTCTTCCATTTAAACCCAAACTGCCAAAGGATGTGTGGGACAAAAGGTAGCTATATGAAAAATTAAAACCTACCACGTGTGAGCGAGTCATTGTCTTAAAACAACTTATATACTGTTGCGAACCACTTTCAGTTTGTACAGGTACAGAGACCTTAGGAGAAGGAGGCTCATCATCATCATGAAATGGGTTGAGAAATGGATCATGTAAAGCAGTTTGTTGCACTGGTTGTGAAATGGATCCGGATCCTGATCCGGATATAATGTCATCACCCGATAACAGGTCCACCCAGGTACTGGAATTTTGGGATTTTAGTGAATTATCATCAGTAGAAAAGGGATTGCTGTTTGCATCAGATGATGACAAAGGGTTGGTATTGGTATTGGTAATGGTAATGGTATGAGTATCTTGTTTGATTTTATTGATATGTTCCCATAACCTCATATCAGAAGCAAAAAGGTCTCTCCATGGAAGAGAAATTCCAAGTATCTCTACCTGTTAGTGTTAGTTAGTTATTACATAACCCAACCAAAACAGCAATCAACATCACAGAATGAAAAAACCTGGGAACAAATAAACTGAGATTAGCAGCAATGTATGGTACCTGACCAAGTGTGATAGGGGTTCTGGCTGACACAGCAGGATAGAATGTGAGTACAACCACACGAGTTAGAAAATCCAATTCGCCCTCCAGTTCTTCAAAATCATATAAAAATGGAAGTTTGGTTGTATCTTGATCATGTACACGTGCACCTGCTCCTGTCACAGCCATATCCTCATCACTCACAGCTCCTGGTATGGGTATCACAATGCTTGTCCCATTAGCACACTCAGGAATAGAAGCTCCCTGTACACAAACACAACTACAACCTTTGTTATACTACTACTACTTTAAGCCTGATTTGGGAGAGATGAGACAGACAGACCTCCACAACAAGTTTAAGCCCATCTAGATCACGTCCAGTTCTCACATCAACTCTTGATGGATATGTTGAACTATCTGCACCATGTGAAATTGTTAGAAGAAGCTGACAAACATGACAAGGCTCTCCAAGATGGATAAAGACTTCCATTACATCTGCTGCCTGTGGACAAACCTGTACACCACAAAAAAAAAAAAAAAAAAAAAAAAAAAAAAAAAAAAGTAAGATTGTATCATAGTTTTAAAAATCGGGTGAGGCGAGGCGGTGGAAAAACGAACTTGAGGCGGTGCCTCATATGGTCTAATTGAGGCGGGCGCCTCAGCTGAACGAGGCAGAGAGAGGCGGCGCCTCGAGGCGTGAGGCGGGGCGAGGCGTCACGAGGCGTACTTGTTAAAAAAACAATGAAAAAAGAAGAGAAATGTAATATTTTTGTCCGCTTTTATACCTTTTTACCTAAATAAAACAAAAAATTAATTTTGTGATCTAAATAACCTAATTGACTATCATACATGATTAACTTATTTTGACATAACTTTGTTCAATATTTGCTTTGTTAATACATTCTTAATACTTAGTTGCTATCTAGTTACGTATTATGGCAATGTTATTAAAACTTCTTTAAATTTGTTTTTCTAGTTAATTATGACTTTTTATGTATCTTTATTATATTTTTATTAGTTATATAATATTTAAAATCTGTTTTTTTATTCCGCCTCGAGCTTACGCCTCGGTTCGCCTCGAGGCTTACGCCTCGTGAGGCAGAGGGAAAACGCCTCAAGGCTCAATTCCATACTTTTAAACCTTGGATTGTATTATACTATATAAGTATATATTAAGCATTAGGAAGTATGACATGTTATGGAATGGTTACCCAGATAAGGTCTTTCTGCTTAAAGCTAAGAAGACTGCCTCCGTCATCAGAACTCGGCAAAATGCTGGCAACCGGCTTCAGAACACAGCCAAATGGTCTACTAGGCACCTAGCAGAACAAAATAATAATAAATATCAACTCATGCTCTATTGCAGCTTTGAAACAACGACTAACAATTACTACATTAAAGCCACAGAAGAAATGCAATTTAAAAGAATAATTACCAAAAACCATTTTTCGCATTCTATTTCTAAGAATCGGCTTCTCATATATACAATGAATTTGTAGAAAAATCTATGCTTATAAGTTTTATAACAAACTGAGATTCCAAATTCAGAAAATAAGTCAAGGCAACTAATAAACTTATGACCAAATGTAAGGTTTTTCTTCTGAGATTAAGCTAATCAACTCTAATCTGCTAAGAAAATATGAGGTCAGTTTCTTTCCTACAAGGTAAAAGCAGGAGACGACTTCAATAGAATACAGTAAAGATAATCAAGATGATTAGAATACATAAATACAGGGTGATCTACTTTGTGGAATCTCACACAGTATTGTTTGTGGAAGCCCTAAACATAATTTCAAAATGCCCTAATAGCCAAAAAGCCTGTCGAACAATATGCATACACATATGACAATGAAGACATCAACAGACATCATTGGCTCCAAAAAACACCGACTACAAGCAAATGATATTCATAAATTGATCCAAGTGTCAGAGACAGGGTGATACATATGCAGTGTAAAAAAAAAAAAAAAAAAAAAAAAAAAAAAACATGAATTTAACAAAGGGGCATTTGTTTTCAGGATATTAGAAATATTCTACACTAAGCAGCCCAGCCCTTAAATCGGGACACCAATTTGTTATTAATATGAGTCTGTCAGTTATTTGTCAATTTCTTTATCATGCATATACTAGTTATGACCAAAAAAAAAGATTGAAATTTACATACATGTAAAGGTTGGAGTGGAAGTGATGGAAGATGCTTGAAAAGGCGTAGTCCAAGGAACATCTCTAACTGCTTCTGACGAGAGCTATCAACAATTGCGTTTTTATATCTTCTCTGCAACGTGATTTTCACATTCTGTGCAACAGAAAACTGCTTGAACTTTCCAGGTTCATCAGTAAATATGGTAAGAATCTGACTATGCATTGCTTTAGATCCAGTGTAGATTGTGGCATGAATATCACCAGCTAGCAGAAAAAGGTCAGCCAACAGACAAACCGGTGACAAGATTGTAGACCTTTTGAACTCCTCAAACGTCATGTCAAAACGTTTCCAAGGTTTATCTGGACATGGGTGATTCCAAGTGGTGGTCCTTGTATTGTGATCGATATAATATGATTTTCCAGTTACAGCATCAGATCGTTTTTCCCATCCTGGAGGCAAAGGTGCAGTATATCCACCATAGTTGTTAGCTGATTGATAACCAATGGCCAAGTCAGTGTCGAGAGATATTCCTAGGCGTCTACACTGCTCTGTGAAAACTTGAAGAGCACCAAAATAGCTAGCAGCATTTGTTCGATCCAAAGAATCCGCACAGTTGAAGCGTATGATTCCATTCTGATGTGAGCGTAAGCAGAAGGCACCAACAGGGTCATCATCATTGTAAATCACTTCGCCCTGACAATCCTTCATCCTGTGACGAGAGGGCAAATAATCCCCTTCAGAAATGCCTATGGATATTGTTGGTGCTTTTAGAAGGTACCACAGTCTTTCAATTGTCCGTTGCTCCCCTTTTAATTTAATAGTCGCATGCCAGTCATAATTTATTAGATGAACCCTAGTGTTGGGAAGTTTTCCGGTTGATCGGATGTGATTCATAGATTCTTCAAAATGATGAACAAGAATGGCTTCTGATTTCCCTTCTCCATTCCTTAGCAGGTTAATGCACACAATTGGAACCAATGGACTTTTCTTTTGGATATCTCGTTTATCGTATCTCTTACTTAGTCTCTGGTAATACTCTGCACTTCCTTTATATGGATCACGCTCTGCAACATAAATTTCTGCTTCTGCAGCTGTCATCTTCAGTTCTGCACCCCACCAGATGGGAATAGTGCCTCGTCTCCATAAATACGTGTTGAAACCCACACTTTGACCACCCTTTTTTCGGACCCATACAACTTGCTCACACTCAACTTCATTGCCTACATTATAATGTATATATAATTAATACAAGATATGTTATGTGGTGTGTTTGTATGCACATCAACTGTACTTACCTGTGCTGTAACAAGAATTTATGCCCCTTGCTAGGTATCGAGTGCCAGGATGAAGCCTGCTTCGACGAGCTATAAGAGCAACAATTCCTTCTTGCTGACCTAAGCTTCCGAAACTTCGACATTCTGCAAAACCCTGAAAAAAAATGACATGTACGTATTATGTAATACTCTTTAGATCTAACATGCTAACCATGAGTGGTTTTAAATTAGGTAGAATGCTTTTAAATTCATTAGACATTCCAGTATCAAGTAGGAGATGCAATAATAAAGAAATTAATACCTGCAGTAAAATGACACAGTGTTGCTCCAGACCAATTCGTCTGAAAGGACTCGAGAACCATCCATTCCAAACAAATTCCTCATCGGGGTGACGAACAGAAGCATGACTTGGAAAAGGTCGTGTTATATCCCTTGTTTCACAAAAGTAGTGTTTTCCATCAATATCAAGTTCAGCAAGTTCTTGAATATTTTTTACTTCTCCTTTCCCTTGGGGTTGGGGATTTTGAAGTAAGACTTTGATCCATTGGCTCTCACTAACAGTGTACACACACCCATCACCAGGCAAATTTGGAATGCTAGCATTCAACTTTGTTGCAACAAGCAGCAACCCGAAGCTCCCAAGCACTGCATAACCTAATATGGCTTTGCCATAGGTTATAGTCTTGTAAATCGACCTTGAACCATTTGTGATGTAGTTTAATGCCTCATCTTCGGAATTAAAAACATCATAACCCACCTTCTGTTCATGTCTAAGAGACCCGGTTGTCGGATCAATGTAGATCACTTGAGTGTCATTCCTAGAAGACAAACTCACAATTATATATACCTCACTCGTATCAAGTGTAACAACAACAACAGATGTATCCCGCAATCCACCACCTGCAAGGAGACAAGAGTCAGAATCCATCATATGACTTTCTTCACAAAACCAATCAGCAAGAGATAAGTGATGAAACTGTCGAAGCTTTCAAAGGGCTAACCAGATGATTCCATCATCTCACCAAGCGTCTGCCTTAGATGTTGATGACTGCGTTAAGCCTCATGAATCCTATTGGAGATGAGAAATAAAATTGAAACTAAGAGATAAGAAAATGCAATGAAGAAAAGATACCAATTCCAATTTCCAAGTAATTAAAAAATAAATAACAGATAAGAAATCATCTCCAAAGAATTGGAGAAGGTAGTGATTCATAATCAGATTCAGAAGGTCTATATTCGGATATTCTGATTCTACACAGAATAAAATAACGAAGTTAAAAAAGATAGATTTTACTAAAAAACGAATAGCACAAAATGATCAGAAATTTCAAGAATGCTAGAAAGTATAACTTACAGATATTCACAATTTCATCTTATTTTCAAGAAAAAGAAACTGGAAATCGAAAATAAGAAGAGCAAGAATCGAGATTCACATTCACATTCACTTGTGTTGTTTCAGTAAAATAAACTGAAAATCGAAAAGAAAAAGGGCAAGAATCAATTTCAGTTTTCTGGAATCGTGAGAAAGAGAAGCAGTCAGACTCGATTCACTGGCTGTCATTCCTTGATCGGTGGTTGTTATGGAGAAACTCAGAAAATCAGAAATATAAGAAAATCAAATGGAGCAGAAATCGATTCACTTAATCACTTGAAATCTGGAATAAGAAATTAGAAATATAAGAAATCGATTACCGTTGCTTCTTGAATGAGGAAAAACGTCGTTTGGATTAATACTATGTAGTTGCCACGAAACAAAAGCTCAATGATCAGCAAATACGCAGAGCCGGAATCTACAACAGATCGACTGCGAGGTCGAGAAGAGGATGCAACCGGTAAAAATAAAGACAATCTGTAAGTCAATGTATTCTCATCCCCGTTACTAGTTTCTAGGTTTTTTCATGGTCTAGTTTATAAATTTATTTGTAAATGGAGATTTTTTTTAAGTTGATTTTTAATCTAAAAAAATGTTTTTGAATTAACTTTTGTCCGATTTGACCAATTATGTTTTTTTTTTTTTTTTTGGAGCGGGTCATTTAACTTTTAGTTTTTTACTGTACAGGTCAGTTAAGCCATTATCGTTAGTTTTTAACCATTCATTCATTAACCAGTTATTCTAAATTACACGAATAGCCCTTATGGTTTAAATTCCTTTCGTAGTTTGTCCCTTACCAGCACTATTCATCACCGGCACCACCACCGTTCACTTCCGACAGCTACCACAGTTCATCTCCTGCAATTCTTTTTCTCTCTTTAAAACTTTCAACAAGTAATAGATTAATATCCTTTATATGCATATATATTTAATTGTTTTCTTCTTTAACTCTTACTTGATTTGAAAAAATTCTTAATTCCCAAAATGAGTTGGTTGACCCAATTTTCCAACGACATGTTGTTAGAACTTAGAACCCATGTGGGCGCCAATTGTCTCAAAATCTTGATGAACGAATCTTGCAATTGCAATTGCATAATCTTCTCTCTTAAAGTTATCACCTCTACAAGTGTAAATCTCTCAATTCAATTAAATTGATTTGACTTGATTTCTTAGTTCCTGAATAATTAATCCCCCAAATTAACACAATGGCGATGAGCATGGCTTCATCGTTGTTAAATGGTCAGGGAGTTGTGGTTTTGTTGTTCGTTTCCAGTATTCTCTACTCTACACGCATATCCCTTCTCTATAAAGGCCTATCTTTCTTTGTTCTCGTTGTTTTTGCCCAATTCGGCGAGATCTACGTCGAATCATACGGCCCCGCCTTCTACTTCAGGTACTCAATTGATCTAGCCACTTCATAAATTATATTGAATCGGTTTCTTAGGGTTTACCAATTGTCACACCCCCGGACCAAAACGGCGTAAACGTCCGGAGGCGGGTGACTTCATTGTGCGGTATCATAACAATTGCATATAAATGAAACATAGCAAATCCAAACATCATACATCAATATAACAAGCTTACATTGTTTTACATCATGTTCATATTTTCAAAATTTACACAAAAGAGACATCAGTAAGCAAATCCAAAATATAGCAAAATAATCTTGAGTCCGTGATCCACGACCTGCTTATTGGTTTCCTGAGAATACAAGTCGTTTGAAAAGCGTCAACATAAAATATGTTGGTGAGTTCATAAGCATTTTTGTATAAAACTTTGATGATAGTGTAGAAATCCAGAAAATCCAATATTTTCTTATCAAAATAGTTGTATGTCTTGTTTCAACTCGAGTATAGTTGCATGTGTGTCTTAGTTAGTCGTTTTCGAAATCGTATATAATTGTTTCCTCCAGAAAATCCTATATTTTCTAATGTATAAAATAGTAGCTTTGAAAACCATAACACTTGTGTAGAAAAGTTTCATTTGAACAAACCAAAACATAGTTGTTTGTAAATCAAAAGTGAAATCTGTATAAATACATTTCTGATATATTCTAGTGAGTCATTATAACCATACTGATATGACGGAGTGCCCGTTATGACGTTCTTCAGGCGTCGGTTTCGTTTAAGACATTTGTCACCCTAGACTGGCCGGTCTAGCTGTAGCGAACAACGAAGGTGCGGGGTGTCAACCCCGTATAGATCTATACACAAATTCTCGTTCCCCCTCCATGAGACTCTGGTTATAACTCTTACAGGACTTTAGGCGTACACTATTTATATAAATATATGTACTGTGAAGATTTGTCTGACTAGAATACTAACAGATTTTTGAACAATCGTGAAATCCATTATTTACTAATTAAATAATAGTAGTTGTACTCGTTGACTAGATATTTCGTTTCGTTTCGCTTCGTTTCGTTGCGTTTCGTTTGTTGAAAATAATCCGCTTTGCATATTTATCAATCGACCCCATATTAGAGAAGTCGGCAAAATGGCTCTTCCCTTTAATATTTACTAAGTGAGACCCCATTTGTCAGAAGGTGTCAAGTTATGATTTGTGTAAACTAGGACTTGTGTGAAGTTATGACAACAGCTTTATGACATGCAAATTTTTCTGTCATAAAGGCTCTATTTGTAAATTTTTCTTGGTGAAATTATTTATCTCAAATATTCATAAATAATCACTAATAGTTTGCAAAAAGTCACTAATATGACATAAAGTTCCAATTTTTCAAAAGAATTATAGAAACAGTGTCAACATATCAAGATATATTTCAACAACTTTTACTTCTAGACAAGAAGCCATGGATAAAGGGGGTATGCTGGACATACTCAAAATTTTGGGAGGCTCCTTTTGTAAATAGAATATCCTTTATGTGGTGATTAAAATATACTCCCAACTTCGTGAGGTTTGTAAAATCTCACGTGCATGAAAAGTCATCTTGAAATAATATTATTTTAATACACCCATTTAACATACAAATACATGCAATTATTCAAGAATTTAGAACAAGAGTTGACTTGTACTCTCCCCCAAAAACAATAAAAACTTAGAAAAAGGTAGGGTATGAAGCTTACCTTGGTTTAGCTTGTTGGGTGACTTGAAGAGATGTAAAGAGTTTCCAAGTTCCAACACTTGGAAGTTTCTTTGAACTTAGAAATATCCTAAGAATAATTTTTGTGTAAATATAATGAAGCCTTAGGAATATTGTGAAGAATCACTAGTCAAAGAAGATGAACACTTACAAAAATCTGGGAATTTTCCTTGAAGGGATGAAACTTGGAGCTTGAAGGACTTGAGAGCACTCTTAGGAGTTTGCTGGAGATGAAAATGAGAAGTGGGGAAATGGGAGAAGAGGAGTTCAGGTATTCTAAGTGGAGAGATAAGGAGTGACTTGACATTTGCTTGGAGGACTGGTGTACAAGGCTTAGAGGCTGTTTGGTAGGATCTGAAATTTTAAGATCTGAAACTTTAAGATGTCTGAATTTTCAAGAGGATCTGAATTTTTAAGATCTGAATTTTTAACAAGCTGTTTGGTTGGAACCTCTGAGTTGTTGTGCTGAATAATAAAAATGACAATTTTACCCTTTTATATTATTTTTTTGCTAAATTCAATACTTCTGTTTTATAAATTAATTTAACACTTTCTTAAATAATTATAAAAAAAATATAAACACCCTACAAAATCCAATACATGAAAACACATACAAGTATACAACTATAACAAACATGAGCTACACATACAAGTATACAACTCTATAAACAATGTTTTCTTTGACAAATGAGATGATATGCAATCCCTGAGACAAATATTTCAAGTATGAAATATTTTAAATCAAAAAATTTGCAGCAACACATAATAGACAATAGGCAACAACTATGAAATCCACCTCCAAAACCAATTACATGACGAGGGGCAACATTTCCAAGAGGAAATCGACCACCAAGCTATAACTTTGACTCTATTTGAATAAAAAAACCACATCAGATCAAAATTGAAATATAACCTAACAAATAATAATAACTTTAATGAACAGGGGCTACTACATAAGGGGTGGGATCGACAAAATCAAGCCAAAATTTTTTGATGGAGAAAACGACACCAATCAAAGGCAAACTGAACATTGTGCTTGAATGCTTATTTGGGATTGGGATTGAACCATAATAATCGAGTTTTATGAAAAAAAATGCCAAGAGCTGTGTTGTTGATGAGGGACCTGGAGGGCTACGCTTCCGGTAGCGATGGTGATACTGGCGGAGGCGATGGCGATGGCCTGCTGATGGCGGAAGAGCCGGCCGCCTGATTCCAGATCGGAGATGAAGTGGGTGAGGGATCGTCGTGTGTATTGAAAGAGAAGAGGGAAAGTGGGGCTGAAATATAAAGGGCAAATCTGCAGGTGATGCCACTGGAGCTGGAGACAAAGGTGGCACAGGCGAAGCCGGCGGCGGCGGCGACAGAGGTTATCGGAGTTGCAACAGATTTGGGGTAGACGAGAGGCGTCGATGATGGTTGAGAGGGAAAAAGAGGTTGTGTCATGAAATAGAAGGGATTCATTTTGGGCAAAAGAGGAAACGCGTCTACTTATTTTTTTCAGTTACAATCACATGTCTGAGAAATTAAGAGGTATTTTTTAAATTAAGAGGCAAAAAATAAGATGTTATCAAACAATCTACATCTGAATTTTTAAGAGCTTGCCTCTTAATTTTTCAATTAAGAGGTAAACAAACAGCCCCTTAGTTCTCTTTGGATAATACATGTTTTACTGAGATTTGCATGGGAAATGAGGGATTTGCATCACATCACAAAATCAACCTCCTTATCTACTTAGAATCCCTTTAAAATCTTGGGTATTATTTTATATAAATATGTTTAAAATAATCAATTTTGGCATAAAATGGGGGTTTAAGGGGTTTAAGATATGAAAATTACGAGTTTGGAGGAATTCCCGACGTCAAAATGCCTTAAAATGAAGAAAAAGTCCGAAATGGACAAAAATCCGGAGTGGAGTCCGGAGCCTGCGAGGGTCCGAAGCCAAATCCAAAATTCTTGAGTCATTCTCAAAGATCCGGAGTCAACAGACGAGTTCCGGAGTGTTTTTCTCGGATTCCGAAGTCCATGCGAAGTCCGGAGCGAAGCCAGCAATCCGGACCGAGGTGCGAAGTCGGCTAAGAGTTTCTGAAGCAAAACAAGTTCTTCCGGATGAGAGGCTTATTCCGGAGTCACCCTTCCGGGCTTGCGAGATTGTCCGAAGCAACTAGGGCATTCCAAAATCCATCAGAAGTTCTGAAGTAGAGAGGGGTTTCGGCCTAAGAGGGTTCCGGACTAAGAGGGTCATTTTGGGTTTTCTCCTTAGGTTTTGAGCTGTTTTCGACTGAGGAAGGTACATAGAGAGAGTTAGGAGAGATTTCACACACTTAGAGAGATTTGGGAGAGATTTCACATACTTGGAGAGATTTGGGAGAGATTTCACATACTTGGAGAGATTTGGGAGAGATTTCACATACTTGGAGAGATTTGGGAGAGGTTTCACATACTCGGAGAGATTTGGGAGAGGTTTCACATACTTGGAGAGATTTGGGAGAGATTTCACATACTTGGAGAGATTTGGGAGAGGTTTCACATACTTGGAGAGATTTGGGAGAGAGAGAGAGAGATACAGTGGGAGAGATTGAGAGAGACCTTGCCAGGGGCCTTTATTAATGTTTTTCTTCGTAGTGCAAGGTCCTTAGACTTAGTTACATTCTATTTTGAGTGTTATACACCCTTGAAGGACACGTAATAGTGTTTTATAGAGTTGTTACTTCCTCAATCTGATTAGGGTTTAGAATTTTGAACATTTGAAACTTTCAAGTGTTACTTTGCATTAAGATTTAGAGCCATACATTAGTAAACATAAAGTAATCCCTAACATATTAGCACTAGTTGAGTTGACCAGTTGACCCGTTGACCTTGACTTGACTTTGACTTGACCAGAAGTTTGCCGGTTGTCACATCATCCCCCGCTTGAGGGAATTTCGTCCCGAAATTTTGCTTTGAAGTAGTCTTCAAGGGTTAGCGAATAGGTGGGGGTACTTCTGTATCATTTGATCT